ATTTAGAGCCACTTTGCTGCCTCTGGACCTGAACAGCTCAGAACAAGCTGGGTGATGCAGCAGGACAGTGACCCTAAACATCAAACTAATTCTACTACAGAATAACTTTAAACATAGAAAATCCACCTTTTGGAGTGGCCCAGTCAGAGCCCAGACCTCGACCCAACAGAGATGCTGTGGAATGACCTCAGAGAGCCATTCGCACCAGACGTCTTAAGAATATGGCTGAGCTGAAGCAGGTCTGTGAGGAAGCATGGTCCGAAATTCATCCTGAATATTGTTTAGATCTGATGGAAGAGCATGTTTGAAGTTCTTGCTGCCACAGGAGGTTCAACAAGTTATTAAATCCAAGGGTTCGCTTACTTTTTGCACCAGCACTGAGAATGTTTCATAGGGTAGACAAGAATGATTATAATTGTATGTGTGTTATTATGTGTTTGATTATACCAGTGTCTTAGATAAGATTCGGTCACATTTTGGCCCAAAAATGCAGAAACCAGCTCATTCCATTGGGTTCCAAAATGTATTTGCTGTTGCATTTTAAATGTATACGGTATATGAGACAGGGTTGAACAAAATGTCTCAACCCTGACAAGTTTCAACCATACATTTGTGTAAAAAGGCTATTCATTTCCCAGCGGAGCCATTATATTTTTCAGCATCTTTTACAAAGCCAGCTCAGGGTGTAACCTGGAGTCAAACAATCACACTTTGTCCCCTGCCACACCTTGATCATGTATAATGTGTTTCTATAGACTGGAAGGGCTGTGGTGTGCAGAGAATATGAGACTGCCTGAATGCTGCTGCAGTGAAAAGTGAGTAACCTGATATTAGAATGAATCAGTTGTTTTCTCAGCATGCTGTTTGCTGCATCAATGCAGCTATTCCTGTCTAACACCTGTCCACCCTGATAGCCCATTTCCCACACTGTAACCTCAATGAAAATTCCCCAGCTGGTGCATTATTGTCTTCAAAATGCATTTAGGTGTTTCCATGGAGAAAAATGAAACAAAACTGAAAGAACCTGATTCATTAGGGAGAGCAGAAATGCAAGATGGACATATTTTTGATGAGAACAAAAATAAAAATGAATGATTTTTAGTCCACAAATATGAGGAAATGTGCTTTGTTTGTGTTATTTGTGTATGGGACTGTGTGATTATATGATAGACAGGCAGATCCTCAGACACCTTTGGCCTGTCAGTAATGAGTTGATGTAGTTAAAAGGTGAAAGGGACTCAACTAGACCGCTGAATGACTTTTGCACACTAAAGCAAGCATAGCCGAAATGTCTGTGCTGTCCTCTTGTGCTGTTACATGCAAGAAAATAAAGGAAGAGTTTTGAAGATATGGGTGTGCAGACCTGCTACCTTTTTGTGCCTTGATAATGATACTGTAATAAAATTTGGCCTGGTTATATGTTATTAAATCTTTTGTTCTCCTACATTAACAAAACTTTTAAAGAACTATCAATTTACATATTAGGCATAACAGTGTTGGCATTCCAAGGAGGGGCATGACAGAAAATGTGTGTTGACCATGGGCTTAGATGGTACATATCACAGGTACACTTATGATGTTGTTATCATTGATACATATTTTATTGTGTTTATTCTGTACATCTCACATCATCCATTCATCTTTATCTGAATGCACTTTCTGGTACGATGCTAAAACTGCATGTCATTGTACTGGTTCGTGTATTGTATGACATACAGTATAAATCGTATTAACTAATGACTGCCTTTTTGGTTCAAACTATGAAAAATGTTAGATTTGAAGCTCCTTGCTTTACCATAATAAATCACCAATACTTCATTTGATGTCATTTTGTACCACAGTGCAAAGTATTCAGACTTTTAGATTAGCACAGTCCTGCAGTGGCTAGATCTAAATAATTGATGAACTGATCTGGCCCCTGGAGGCTGAGTGCTGAATGCTGCAGTTTCCTGAGCAATGCTGAGTCATAAGAAGCAGCACTTGCTCAACATGGCTTCACAGAGTGTGTTACTGTACTGCAAGCACACACTGTGGGAAGTGCTTCATTGTGAGGTACTGTACTTATAAAAAGCATCAAACAGCAAAATCTCCTCCCAGTGCATTAAGCTCTAGCTGCTCAACCTGTCACCAAAGCCACTCAGTGCACACACTTCATCCTCCCAAAGAACAAGGTCAATGAATAATTGACCAGTTATAGCACAAAGGCAAAGACTGCAGAGAAACAACACTGATTTAGATCAAAGAGAATTTCAACGTACTCCGGAGGCTGCCTGCATTACTGTCTGACTCATGAATTAAAGGCCAGAAAGTACAATGCAGTTATAGGTGATGTTAGCAGGGCTGTGACCAGGACCATATCTACTGAGTCCATGGGTCCAGGTTTCCCCCAGCAGAACCCTACCCACTCAAAAATGCTTTGACTAGCCACCAACCAAATTTTGTAAAATTAAATAAATTAAGAAAAAAATTCCACTATATTTATACATTTAACTGCTTTATTATATTTTTGTCATTTTCATCGTGGCGTGGTGCTGATCAGTTTTCCCAAACACCTCCATGTCAGCTTGCTAAATTTTGGTCTACAACAGCATGTAGTCTCCGCCTGAAAATGACATGGTCCATTGCAGACAAGGGAAAAATGCTGCAGTAGCTGGTCCATGTTTGCTTGTATCTCATCCTCTCTGTGACTTAACTCTGTCATAGAGCAAATAGGGGTCTTTATGTGTCCGATTACAATACACACACAGTATGTTTGATCTAATCATTGCTGTGGTATTCCTGTAAAAAGACCCAGATCCAGGCCAAGTAAATATTAATAACATTATTTAGATTTAATGAGGCACATGCAACTATTATTGCTCATACCCATATTATATAATACACCAGAAAGTCAATAGTCTGTACAAGAACTAATCTATATTAAACATGTACTGTATGATATGCACAAATACTGTGCTAAAGCTCTTTAGTTCCAAGGAAAGCTGATATAAATGCCTGTACTAATGCACAAAAGCTTGTGATGCAGAGTGGAAAATCCTAATTGTGATGGCAACAACCACCTGGGAAGGATGTTTTCCCTATCAATCTTGGAGACATGACTGTGGAAAATGTATCGTGCAAAAGTGCTGATGTCACAGCTGCATCCTTGCCTGGCATTCAGATTAACTATTACTTTTCTCATCCGCCTCATTTCACAAGTCTGTTTTCACAGTAGCCAATATTGTGCAGTGTGTGTAGAGATTTCTCTTTTTTTCCTGAGCCAGCTTCTGTACATTATGCTTACATTGACACTAAATTATTTATCTCATTATTTCAGCAATCAGCCATGAATCTGCAAGATGCTCTATTTGACAAGGGGGGAAAAGTTGAGTCAGACAAGTTTTAAAAAGCAGTTTACATTATGGCCATCAGCGGTTTGGTGTTATGCATATCAAAGAGAATTCCATACTGCTTTTTGCTGTGACATTTCACTGTATTCAAACCTAAAATGTTAATGCTCCACAGTATGACCTTTGATTTGATTTAATTTGATTTGATTTGATTTGATTTATTCTTTCAAGCATGTAAAAACAGTTGATATGACAACACACATAATTTTACACATAATCCAATATCAATTTGCTTATACCTAGTACATGCTTGAATGGAGTAGGAAGAAGTCAGACTTCTTGCCCATATCTTGATTAACACATACCTTTATATTTATGTTTAAACTTGTCAATTCTATTGCTATTTTTTATGTCCACACTTAAATTATTCCATAGTTTTACCCCACTTATGGAAATACAAAATCTTTTTTTGGTTGTACGTATAGCATGAATTTTTAAATTTAATTGACCCCTTAAATTGTATCCCCCTTCCCTTTCATTAAATAGTTTTTGAATTCCACCAGGTAATAAATTGTTCCTGGCTTTATACATAAACACAGCAGTCTTATATCCCACTAAATCAAAACATTTTAACAATTTAGACTGTATGAAAGCTCCATTGGTGTGATCCCTATACCCCATCTTATGCACAATTCTTATCGCTCTTTTTTGTAATATATACAATGGTTGAAGTGAGCTTTTGTATGTATTTCCCCAGTTTTCAACGCCATACTCTAAGTATGGTAAAATCAATGAAGAATACAAAATGCGTAGTGCTTTCCCGTCCAAAATATATCTAACCCTTGCCAATATCGATATATTTTTTGCTATTTTGTTCTGAACATATTTGATATGCGATTTCCAGGAGAATTTGTCATCATCAGACCTTTATTTCTTTGACTTGGCTCCTTACACATCTTTATTTATTATGACAGTATCTGTAAACATGATGTCACTGCCTAGGTTTTTTAATCATGCACCATCAAGGCCAAGAATGTAGCTGTTTCATATGTTTCATTCCAAACAAGCTGCACACCAGCCCACCACTAACCACATATACCAGAGAAAGGAAAGCTCATCTGTTAAATGAGAAACGGCTGTGCTTAGCTGCGATGAAAAACTGTAGCCTCCTAGCACAAAGAGGCTACAGATGATTGTTGTCCATAGTCATGGCCAGTCCTATTGCAACATTTTTCGCTAGTCAAACTTATGGAAAGCCACACCATTACATACTGTGTTTGTCAGCCACGTGGAATGTGGTTAACTAGCAGTCAATAAGGACTGTTGTCTTATAACTCAAAATGTTTCCCTTTATGGACAAAATAAGATATGTCGCCGTGTTTAACAAACGCCAACATGCGGCATCGAGATGCAGAATTAAATCTGTTGCAGCGTTTCTTTTCCGCCATTATGAGGAAGTAGGCCAACGTCTACACAACCTAGACAGTAGTCACGCGTTTGACATTAATATGATTGAAAGACGAATTGGACCAATCACGAGAAGCATTTAAATATTTGATTGGTCCAAATTTGTGTCTGTAACACTGATCTTGCGGCTATTAGCCAATAGAAATTTGAACTGAGGAGCAGAGGGCGGGGCCACTTGTAGTATAAATGAGAGCGTTTATCGGTTAGGTACGCACATTTTGAAACCCAAAGCTTTTCGGACCAGAGTTCATTCTATCTGCCGAAAAAAAGAGAAATGAGGGAAATTGTGCATCTCCAAGCTGGCCAGTGCGGAAACCAGATTGGTGCTAAGGTTTGTGAACCTATATTTGTTTACTGAGCAATAAATTTGTCTGTTTTATTCAGAAATACCGTGTTCTCGGTTCTAAGTGCCTGTGCTTTGTCCGCATAACCACACCCTGAGAGATTTCGATGTGGTCTACGTAGCAGAGTTTACATTAACGTGTGATTTATTTATATATAAGTATATATGCTTTTTGTTACAGCTTTTGGGGACACTTATTTGTCGAAATTGCTACGTTTTAAACTAATATAAGAATATTTAAAACCAAATGTTAGCATCGGTTAAACCCAAATTTTAACATGTGGTTAAGCATAAGTGTCAGGGACTAAATTCATCTAAAATATTATGACTTGGTAAACGACTTGTATGTTATTGGCAGGTTAACTTTTATCAAGTGATCTTAAGCAATCCGTTGTTTGCCTAGCATACGTTAACGTTACCGCAATGCGACGAAGTGATGATTGTAGATTAAGATCGTTGGACATTATTTGGACGCCTTTAATAGCATCTGTCAGTACGTACTATCTTGTTTGTAAGGTAAATGTGATTACTTTAATTAGTGGGCCTTTTTTTTTTCCCGGATTGCTGAGGCCTACTTGGCCATACTCTTTGAACTGCACCCGGCTTTTGCCTGCCCGGAGTAGGTGGTGCTGGCCGTTAGTGACGTAGAGAGGAAGCTTCGAATTCATAACCCATGAGTCGCAGCCAATGGGGGTTAAGGGCGCGCGCGCCGACGGCGTAATGGCGGGGAATTTTTTGTGCAATCACATTTTTAACAGTATTGCTTTAACTAATACATGGTAAAAGAGTAATGGATGCTGCTTTGTCTTTTACCAAACAAAGTTTTGCTTATGTTTCAGTTTTGGGAGGTGATCAGTGATGAGCACGGGATTGACCCAACTGGTACATATCATGGTGACAGTGACCTGCAGCTGGACAGGATCAATGTCTACTACAATGAAGCCTCAGGCAAGTCTGCAGCAGCCCAAATTGTACTTGGTTCAAATTGCTTAGCTTGTTTAGACTTTTTAAATGTATAAAGACATTGGTTTGACTCTTCTGGTGTTTGCAGGTGGGAAGTATGTGCCCCGTGCTGTGCTGGTTGATCTGGAGCCAGGCACCATGGACTCGGTGAGGTCTGGCCCTTTTGGCCAGATCTTCAGACCAGATAACTTTGTTTTTGGTAAGTATATTGCAAGACATTTTCTGACACTACTCTAGATTCACTGAAGTCTGTAGAGCTGAATTTAATTCCTGCTTACAGGCCAGAGTGGTGCAGGCAACAACTGGGCTAAGGGTCACTACACAGAGGGTGCAGAGCTGGTGGACTCTGTTCTGGATGTGGTACGGAAGGAGGCTGAGAGCTGTGACTGCCTGCAGGGGTTCCAGCTCACCCACTCCCTAGGTGGTGGAACAGGCTCAGGTATGGGCACACTGCTCATCAGCAAGATCCGTGAAGAGTATCCTGATCGCATCATGAACACCTTCAGTGTGGTGCCTTCTCCAAAAGTATCGGACACAGTTGTCGAGCCCTATAATGCCACGCTATCAGTCCACCAGCTTGTAGAAAATACAGATGAGACCTACTGCATCGACAATGAGGCCCTGTATGATATCTGCTTCCGCACCCTCAAACTCACAACCCCCTCATATGGTGATCTCAACCACCTGGTTTCTGCCACCATGAGTGGTGTCACTACCTGCCTCAGGTTCCCAGGACAGCTCAATGCTGATCTGCGTAAGTTGGCTGTAAACATGGTGCCATTCCCCCGTCTGCACTTCTTCATGCCAGGCTTTGCTCCCCTCACAAGCAGAGGCAGCCAGCAGTACAGATCACTCACTGTGCCAGAACTCACCCAGCAGATGTTCGATGCCAAGAACATGATGGCTGCCTGCGACCCACGTCACGGCCGTTATCTGACTGTGGCTGCAATCTTCCGGGGCCGCATGTCCATGAAGGAGGTGGATGAGCAGATGCTCAATGTGCAGAACAAGAACAGCAGCTACTTTGTTGAGTGGATTCCAAACAATGTCAAGACCGCTGTCTGCGACATTCCTCCCCGTGGCCTCAAGATGGCTGCTACTTTCATTGGCAACAGCACTGCCATCCAGGAGCTGTTCAAGCGCATCTCTGAGCAGTTCACAGCCATGTTCAGGCGCAAAGCTTTCCTCCATTGGTACACTGGTGAGGGCATGGATGAGATGGAGTTTACTGAGGCAGAGAGCAACATGAATGACCTGGTTTCTGAGTACCAGCAATACCAGGATGCCACTGCTGAAGAGGAGGGTGAGTTTGAAGAGGAGGGTGAGGAGGAGCTGGCCTAAATGCTGCACTTTTTCCAAGTTCTGATAACATTTGCAGTGAAATGTAATGTTCCGGGTCTTTCCAGTTTTCAGTGAAATGTAATGTTCCAGGTCTTTCCAGTTTCCAGTGAAATGTAATGTTTCCAGTACAGTTTTCAGTGTTCTGTCTGCTGTTCATGTGAATAAAATCTTCTGCATATTGAGTTTGCCTTCCTGGGTTTACTGATGTGTATTATAATTGACTCATAGGTAAACAGAATAATTTCTAATGGGCCATGTCAAAGTTCATACAGTGCTATTCAGAAAACTTTGTTAATCTTTTCCTTCAGGTGGCGTAAGGTTTAAATGCTCCTGACATTACAAGTTGCTACTGGTGTTTAATTAGAACAAATGTGAATCGCACTATGCAAGTAGTGGGTGAACTTCAGAAATAAAGGGTACCCAGATATTTCCTTGGCATGTATGGAGTGTCGCTAGGTGGCAGTGTTTAACCACTTTCTCCACAAGAAGTAGATGAGGATGCTGGTAGCCAGAGCCATCAATGTCCCGCAGCACACTTTCTTCACCTGGCATTCCAAGTTTGGCTTCTCTCCAAAGCGTGACACAAAACCTGTCTGAGGCAAGTACAGAAAATTTTCATAACATCCTGCAAGGGTAGTCTTTTGACAAACCAGGGTTAAAATTCTCCCTTGAAGAAACAATACTGTAACAAGTGTAGTTGCAGAGCGCACTGTGCCTGCGACACCGAGCGTGCGCCACAGATACAAGGGGGGGGGGGGGGGGGGGGGAGAAAGCTTTAAGTGGGCCTCAGAGCAAAGTTATGCCCCAGCCCCCCTAGCAAGTTATTTCTGCACAATGTCCCAGTGTAGGGATCTGAAAATGGCCAGAAGGATGTGGGCTTTACCATGAGCTAATGAAAAACATGTTGCATCATGGGACATGTAGGATCAGTGCATCTACTGCTTCAAGCTTTTTTTTTTTTTTTTTTATCTCCTGTTTTGTCACTCCATGGGGTTCATGAACTAAATCACTGCAGTGCCCCCTGTTGCTTGTTATGAGACTAGGGTTGTAGGTTTTTGGGCTGTTTAATTGAAAACCTATGGTGTGTGTGTGTGTGTGCTTATTTTTAAAGAATCTGAGTACAATAAGGGGATTCAGCTGCTATGAACTTCCCTGTAGATGTAGATATGTGCTTGTGAGCACTTACCCATCCTCCCATGTCTTGTATCTCAGGGCAGATGACCCTTTCTACATAGGCCCCTACACACTCTTTTAGCTGGGGCAGGACCACCATCATGTCCCTTTCATGGCAATGCAGAGCCATCTGGCCAGCCAGCACATACACCGACAGCACTGCACTCCAGGCCAGGTCCCTGCGCCGCCGCCCCCCAGGGACAGGGGGAAAGAAGTGCTCATCCAGGATGTTTATGAGCATGGGGCAGGCCGTGCTCTCTGTCGCATCCTGGAAGACACGAGGCCAGCGCCTAAAGAAGATGGGGAAACGGGTAACGAGCTCATCTCCAGCATGGCGCAGAGCAGCGGTGCAGGCTGAAGGGGCAGGACCAATTGTCCCATCTGCCCCACCTGTAGTTACATAGTCTATGTAATCATGGGCCATCAGAAACGCCTCTCTCACCAGGGGGTCAGGACTGTTCAGGCCCAGTCTGGCCTCTGGCACCTCTGACTGAGACATGGTCACCTCCGAATGCCACTTTGCCAATCACCATGATGTATAGGTCACAGATGACAGCAGTATAGCCATTCTTTAGGTCAGCCTGTCTTGGTATGTGTACTCTGTGTGAAATTTTAATAATCATATTAGTATAGAGAGAAGACTGGATGAACATGCATACTGCAGCATCGATAAGGAAATGATGCATTTACTACTCACCTCCTCTTCAATATGATGGCGAAATGAACAACCAGCAGGTGAAAGAGTGGTGGAGGTCCAGACCAGTGTGTCTGTACATGTAGTGGGTCATGCAGTTCCCTCCACAGCCAAATATAGAACACTTGTTGGAAAATGACACTGATCTGCAGTCTCATGCACCATCCTGACACAGATCCCCATTCCAACACAAGCAGCGGGGCTAAATAAAGAGCACTGAGGAGAAACGGGTTAGATTTACAGTTGAAGGATATGTTTGTGCGAGTTAGATGAGAACAATCAGAGGCAATAGTCCTGATGGGTTACAATTTTCAAAGAGGCAGCGAGGTTTAACTTCTTATATATAACCATTGAAATATGAAACCTTTTCTCTGATGACTTTCTCTGGTTTTGACACATATGGTAGTTACTCTGACTCTTGCATTGGTTAGTTTTATATGAAATGATCGTTCAGAGTGGTGCAGTGGTTAGCACTGTTGCCTCACAGCAAGAAAGATCTAGGTTCAAGCCCCAGTGTGGAGTTTGCATGTTCTCCTTCTGCCTGTTCTCTCTGGGTACTCCAGCTTCCTCCCACAGTCTAAAAACATGCAGCTTAGGTTGACTGATGACTCTAAATTGCCCCTAGGAGTGTGTGTGCTTGCCAGCCCTGTGATAGACTGGCGACATGTCCAGGGTGTACCCCACCTCTCACCCAAGGTCAGCTGGTATTGGCTCCAGTCTCCCTGTGATAAGTGGTATAAATGATTCACCTGGTATAATACTTGATGAGCAGTGGTGGAAATGAACATTTACTCATGTAGTGCACTTAAGCACAACTATGAGATTTTTGTACTTCAACTTATATATATCACTATTTTTGTACTGTTAGTTTACTGTTGTTACTTCTACTCCATTTCATCTGAGAAAGACATCTTGTGCTTTTACTCCACATTTATTTGATGTCTATTCATTTATTACTTTTCAAATTAGGATTTTATTTAAAATGATCTGAATTCTTCTAGTCAATGAGCTTATTACCACTGAATTGTTAGTAGACTGTAGGACACTCGTTTAAACAACTTGGAATATAAGTGGGATAATAAAGGGTGGGTTCACATACCTTAAGTGCTATCCAGCCATTCAGATAGTTTTGGTTGTATTTATTCAGGTTTGTTTTTAGATTCTAAAGTTTCTGCCTCTACCCCAATACTATGAATACTATGAAGGTGATTGAAAATTGTGTTCAGAGCATTGAAAAGTGTCTTCAATACTTTCTAACCAAAAATTTAATGTTATGCCATTTGATTACATTTAATACATTTGTCAGGGAACACATACAAAAACAATAGCCTCATACAGTAAGTATGGTACAAGTGCACTGTATCAGATTTAGCTAACTAGCTCACTTCCATGTGCAGTCCCTGGTTGGGTGAATACCAAGAAATACAAATTCAAGGCCCAGGAAACCCTCAAATATACATTAATTAGTTAAAATTCCTTAGGTGCACCCAGTATTGTACAATGGCCACCCATACCACATCCCCCTCCCCCACTCCCTCCAAGTCCTTCACTTTTTGTTATTGTTTTATGTAGACATTCAGACACAGAGTGAATATGAGTCAAAATAAATCTGTAGTTCATATGCAAACAGTATACAGACCTGATGACTTAGTTTTTTGTTTTTGTTTTATTAAAGTGCTTTAGTTAAAATGACTGTTATGGGCAACTGGCTTTTCACTGTGTCCTGTGGATTCATCAAATTAATGCAACTGTGATTAAAAAAAATTTTTAAATATAATTTTTCAGTGTTGTGTGTGGCACAAACACGACTCCATTCATCTCCATTATTAGCGTGGAGGCAGAAATCTAGACAGACATTTCAGTCAGACTTATATTTCACCACATGGGAGCAGTAATGTATTACTACAGACACACTACCTCTCATTTATAATTGTGTGTGTGTCTGTGGTTGGAGCTGCGGCAGGCTCCCACGGAATCTGATAGCACTCCCTTGTATTTGAACTCCTAACCACTTGTTTATAATGAACTTCAAAATAAAAGCTGTTTGAAAATTGAGTCATAAATCTGGACCAATTAACTCTTCCCATATGTTCATCAGTAATCATATCTCTCTATAAACTAAAAATATATGTAAATACAAGCATGGAGAGCCATTCAAATTCAGTTCAAGTAAATGTATTTAAATTGCGGCTAATGCCTTTGAGATTTCTCCCATTGACACGTGGTTTAATCTACGTTGTCCTTTAAGTGTTTCCTCTCTTTTTATGAAAAGGCTTTATGCATCACATGAGGATCAATCAGATGCTCTGTGTATGGCATTTATGTTCATTGTTAATACACTGATTTATAGCAGAGCAAAGACATGATCAAGTGGAACCATTAGCGGCTCTGTGTTCTCTGGCCATCTGGTGCAGCATACATTGTGAATGTGCATGGGAGGGAAGGAGGGAAGATAAGGCTAACCATCCAGAAAGAACCCTAGCCCACCCCCTTCACACATACACACACATACACACTACTTCAGATGAGGGTGAGTATGTAAAATGGCTACCCAGTTGTTCCTCATTGTTGAGCCAGGGAGCAGGGGAAGTGACATGGTTGATAGAGGCTGCTATCAGGCCTCTCATATGTTCATGTGGCAACATCTGCAAGCAGGGGGAACTTCCTGACTTGTGTAGAGAGGACTTTCATGTGTATATGTTTGCATTGGTAAGGAAGGTGCAAGATTAACAGGAAACATGCTGTAACTCACTGCTGCTATTTGACTCCATGGACCATTATTCTAGCAGCACTGTGGAGCTGTGGCTAAATGCTGACACAATACTATGGCAAAGCTAACATGCTGATGTTTAGACATGTGTACCATGCTCACCAGTTTAGTATGCTAATGTGCTCTGAACAGTAGAATTGAGGGTCACGGGAATGTCATTAGTTTTGCAGATATTTGTTCCTAAACTATAATGTAGGCCAATGTCTGTGTGTCTAGCCCAAAGTGGTCGACCCACTGACTGAGCAGTTGACACAGCAGCTAATATGGCTAAAAACCACCTTAGGAATCGTTGGCCCCAACAACATGGACAAATTAACCTGCTGGGGGTCCGGGGGCAGAAATTTGTTGTCGTGCCCCATCCTGACCTCCATTGTACATGGCAGCTTCATTATTTCTCCAGACAAGAACCAGCTTTACAGCTGACTTAGTTAGCTGAGTGACAGAAAATTAATCAGCAACAATTCTGATAATTAATCACTTAAATCCTTTTACATAAAAAATGCTACAGTGTGATCTTCTAGCAAACTCAGTATCTTTAGATTTTGAACTGTTGAATGGAGAAAACAAGATGCAGAATTTTGATAGATAGTTTTCTACTATGACTGTTTTCTAACAGTTTACATAGTAAATGAGCCATTAAAAAGGAAAATAACTGGCAGGTGAATCAATAATGAATATACCTATTAGTTGCTGAGTGACTCTGGGGTTTTTGGAGTTCCTGAAAGTTTAGGATGCAGTAGGAGTTGCCTGATTGCTCATCCAGCCATGGCTGACATGTGTCCCATATTGTACATTTACTTGATTTGCTTTGTTTTCACCTTTTAATCTATCTGCTGAATTGGACATTTTTCTCCTCATGGTTAACCTAAATTTACCAGAAGAAAAACATTAAAGTGTATCAACAATAATTCAATGGCATAGCTTTAATCTTGGAAATGAGGATAAGACTTTCTGACACAATTTGAATTGATACTATTATTATGATTCGCAGCCCCTCCACCTGATGAACATAATTGTTCCATTTCTGTCATTTTGCATCCCTGCTGAGGTGTTTTTGTCAGTATATATCTACCCCAGGACACCCCACACCTCACACACAAAGTATGTTCTGTTATTTAATCCAAAATGTTACAACCTCCCCTGTCTGCTAATGGAGGAACACAATGCAAATGGCAGAACTGTAGGGGAGTTTTTCACAGAAGGCGACAGTGATCAGGGAGATGAGGTGTGTATTGCTACAGACCAAATTTAACCACAGACACAAAATGGACTTGTTCTGTAGAATGGAACAATGCGGTGTGTGTGTGCGTGTGGCTGTGGTGGGTGTTTGTGTGTCTCTGTGTGTGCCTGTGTGTGTACATTTGCCTGTTATCTTTAAGCAGCATAAGAGTATCTCTCAGGAAGTGGCTTATCAACAACTACACAGAAGTTGAAATGCACTTTGAAGTTCCTACCCACTGCAAAAAAAAGAAGACTCCAATGAAATCCGCAAGGTGACAGAGAAAGGTTGAACAAGGCAGACAGATGAAAACCGACCTCCTCCTGCTCCTCCCCACCAACCTGTAGTCAAACTATTGCAATCTCCACGCCTCTTTGTTCAAGACCCCCATCAGCCTCGCAGCGGGAGGTGTGGTCAGAAAGAGGAGGAAATTGCTGTGAATTTGTGGGTAATTGAAAACACCTATATCCCCCTGTGTCTCTGTCTCTACCTGGTTTAAAAACCTCCACACCCCTTCTTCTTCCCTGACGCCCACCTTCTATACCAATATCCTCCTAATGGCACCCCTTCCCCATCCCGTCCTTCATCTCCCACTGCCTTGAATTGATGCAAACGATTGCGTGCCCATTTACTGTCTGGAGGAGAGGTGACCCGCTTGTGTGGTTTGCTCACTGTCTCCTGCTCCACCTTCTCCCAATTGCAGATATTGATGTCTTGCCATTGTTTTCCCCCTACCCAGGGGGTGGAGTGGTTTGTGGGAAAATTGGGGGACCCCTCAGGTGTTTGATGGCTTTTATTGATTGCACCAGACTCTCC